GGCGCCCCCATCAGACGTCCCGGGGTTCTGAGCATAGATGGGGCCCTGGGCATAGCAGGGACTGTCAGCTCACCTGGACCTCCCTGTCATCTCTCTATAACTATCAATGTGATCACATCTGTAATACATCAAGAATTGAATGCCCAATTGGAACCTCAGTGTAAATAAACTAAATACCCTCCATGTGTAGAAAAAAAAAAATTAACCCCTGGTTCACATCTATGCAGGTGGCTGCGTGCAGGAGTCGCAGGGAAATCGCATGGTCAACAGGAACATGTGACTTCCCTGCGGGCCGTGTTTGAAAAAGGTGCATGCAACTCTCTGAGGGAAACACAGGCATGGCAGCTGCTGTGCCCGAGCAAACACGGCCCACACACATGCAAAGGTGTGAGCCAGGCCTATGCGGGCATTGCAACACACCACAGGGCCCCATTCACACCTAGTGTAGTGGGAGCACATTTGCGTGTTTTTCATGTTTTCCAGTGACACCAGAGGCGTTCCTAGGGTTGGTGTCACCCAGTGCGGTAACACTGGGTGACACCCCCTCCGACGATCTCCGCAGAAATAATCTGATCTGCGGATTGAGCATAATGGATCAGACTCCGATCCATTTTGCTCAATCCTCAGATCCGATCCATCCTGCGGGGATTGTCGCATGGTTCAAATCTGCGGATTGAGCATAATGGATCTGAATACTATCCATTATGCTCCCTGATCCATCCTGCGGGGATCGTCGGCATGCATCCTATATGGGGTGACACCGGACCCGCTCCCCGCAGGATGGTCGGCTTGCTTTACAATTTACCTTTTCGTGGGGCGGGTCCGGTGTCACCCCGTGCGGTAGGTGTCACCTGATGCGGGCCGCACCCCCCGCACTTGCTTCAGAACGCCACTGAGTGACACACATATGAATGGGCTGCCCTACCCATGACAAACGCACCAAAGAAGCTCCTGCACCTTCTCAGGCATAGAACTTCATGAATTTATTTTTCCTGTATGTTTGTAACGCGTATTTTTATGTGCATAAATTCACCTCAGCTGGCTGCGTTTGAGATTTCTATTAATAATTATTTGCATCCCAAGCACTGGTGTTTTTCACGCGTTTTTCACACATTCCCAGAATGCGCAAGTGTAAATGCAGTCCCTCCCCCTCATTTTCACACTGTACACCGTCGTTACAGGAGTTTGGCATTTATATTTTCAGCTTGGAAAAGCGCCTCTATGTTAGGCTGTGAATCTATAATCGCCTAAGCTCCAACCTCAATGACAACAACCTCCTCGATCCCCTACAGTCTGGCTTCCGTCCCCTACACTCCACGGAAACCACCCTACTCAAAATCACCAATGACCTGCTAACCGCCAAAGCTAATGGCCACTACTCAGTCCTACTACTCCTCGACCTCCCCGCGCATTCAACACAGTTGACCACCCCCTCCTCCTTAATAAACTACACTCCCTCGGCATCAGAGACTCCGCTCTCTCCTGGCTCTCTTCCTATCTATCCCAGCGCTCCTTCAGTGTTACCTATAACGCTGCCACCTCCCCCTCTTTGTTGGGGTCCCCCAAGGCTCTGTCCTCGGGCCCCTTCTCTTCTCCATCTACACCTCCTCCCTTGGCCAACTGATACACTCCCACGGCTTCAACTACCACCTCTACGCCGATGACACGCAAATCTACCTCTCTACCCCTCGCCTCACCCCTTCAGTCTCTGCCCGAATCACCTGCCTACTGAACGACATATCAGACCGGATGTCACTCTACTTCCTCAAATTAAACCTTTCCAAAACCGAGCGCCTAGTTTTCCCCCCAGCCCGCGCCCCCCCTTATCCTCTCCATCACGACCAATAACGCCACCATCAGTCCCACCCCGCAAGCCAAAGTCCTAGGTGTCACTCTAGACTCAAACCTGTCCTTCCAACCCCATGTCCAATCGCTGGCAAACTCATGCAGGCTCCATCTCTGCAACATCTCCAAAATACGTCCGTTCCTAACCCCAGACTCTGCTAAACAACTCATGCACTCCCTTATTATCTCACGACTCGACTACTGCAACTCCCTCCTCACCGGCCTACCCCAACACAGGCTATTCCCGCTTCAGTCTATCCTGAACTCAGTGGCCAGACTCATCCACCTTACCAACCGCTCCGTATCCGCCACCCCCCTCTGTCATTCCCTCCACTGGCTCCCGATTGCCCAACGCATTAAATTCAAAATACCAGCGCTAACATACAAAGCTATCCATAACACTGCCCCAAACTACCTCACCAACCTGATAGCCAAATACCACCCAACACATACTCTTCGCTCTTCACAAGACCTCCTACTCTCTAGCTCCCTAGTCTCCTCCTCCCATGCCCGACTCCAGGACTTCTCCAGGACTTCCCCCATCCTCTGGAACTCACTACCCCAGAACTCACTCCTCAAAAACATCAAAAGAGCATTCAGGAGAGGAGCTGAAGAACAGAAAAAAAACACTGAATACATCAAAATGTGTTAAAACACTAGCCGTGTTAAGGTGCATTGGAACATTAATGCACTTCAACAGCCAGAATAAACAAATATTCTGGCCAATGGAATCCATTGCCGCTCCAACATTTGATCTGCCTAAATGTGTGTGCAATACACAGCTTTAGGCACGTTTTTCAACGGCCTATGAAGATAAGGTGTGTCTGTAGATAAAAACAAACTGTCTAGCTCTGACTAAAGTTGAATGTTGCCCTTGCTATGGGTGTAGGCCATTTACGTACATCATGAAGCCTGAATGGAATACTCCCAGGATGTTGCTATGATGTTGCTATGTGAAGTCTAGTTGTTACTGCTCACCTCCACCATCACAGGAGGGAGATCTCAAACGCTGAGCTCAGAGCTGCTGCATCAATGGAGAGAAAGATTGTGTGAGGAGGTTTGAATCAGAGAAAAGTGCTCACTCCTGGGATGGTGGAGGAGAGCAGTAACAACTAGGCCTCACATTGCAACGTCCTAGCAACAACCTGGGAGTATTCCAGTCAGGCTTCGGGAGGTATGTAAATGGCCGATGATTCATGTAGCATTTACTTCCTGGAATTCATCTACCCTTAGCTCAGGCATTTGCTGAGTTGAGAACCCTCTCTCCCCTCCTGAAGACTGCTGGGATGTATGACATCATTTGCCTAGGCATGGAAACCAGGAAGTAACTGAAGAATTATATACAAAAAAAGTTTAAAACAAGAAAAAATGATATATTTTCCTATCCATTTACTAATGCCAGCAACATAAGGATTAAAAATAGTTGATTGAGAGAGTGAAGTTTCACTTTAAAGTGGAGCTCCACCCAAAGGGCGAAGTTCCGCTTTCAGCCTTTGTCCCCCACTCCCCATTAAGGATTGGCACCTTTGGGGAGTGGGGGCAGCGGGTACCCAAATTTGACAGGCGATCGTAAGCGGATGTTGTCCTCCCCCACCTTCCTCCCTGTAGTCTTCTGTGACACGTGACAGGTCCCAGAAGACTATGGGGACATTCACAAAGCGCAGCGCTTCTCGCACATACTCAGTGGACAGTGAAGCCGCAAGTTGTCACAGCCGGGTGCCCACACTGAAGATGAAGGCGCCAGGGAGAGAAGACGGCCGGTGAAACCAGATGCCCTGTGTGCATTAGGCATATTAGTATTCTTTTTTTACTATTATTACATTATTATTATTTTTATTATTATTATTTTTATTATTTTACAGGATTTGTGTAACACCAACGTTTACTCACTGCCTATTTTAAACCAGTAAATGCATCACCGCCATGACACAGCTACAGGAATTAGACATAAGCACAGAACAGTTGGTTGAGGCGCAGCTCCATTCACCTGAACATGATGGGGATCAATTTGCAGCTAAGCAAAGTGTATGCAGCATGTACACCTGGTCTGGCTGCCTTTGCAGATCAATGGAAAGGGGGGGGGACCTGAAGCCTCAGGTGCTGTGTAGAGCCTCCTACTATAGCACTGAATGGATGAAGGGGGCCGTATGCAGCTATGTGGCACATACGAGAAAAATAAAAACGCTCAATTTCAAGAAAGGTAATTTTCCAAGGCTGATAGCTGCTCTCCAAGACTTAGACTGGGAGGGAATATTGGCACTGATGAACACAACACAGAAATGGGAGTTCTTCAAAAAGACTGTATGTGAACACACTTCAAAATATATTCCCATGGGCAACAAGTTTAAAAGGCTAAAAATCAAACCTATGTGGCTTACGGCTAAAGTTAAAAAGGCTATAGATAATAAGAAAAGAACTTTTATTAAATATAAAAATGAAGGACCGCTATCATCATTTAAACATTACAAAGAATGTAACAGAATATGCAAAAAGGAAATAAAGGCTGCAAAAATTGAAAACGAACGACAGATTGCAAAAGATAGCAGGACCGACCCCAAAACATTCTTCAAAAATATTAATAGTAAAAAGGTTCGGTCCGAGCATGTAGGCCCTTTCCAAAATAATCTACAGTGGGTGACTGGGGACAGAGAGAAGGCAAATTTATTTAATACCTTCTTCAGCTCTGTGTATACAAAGGAGCATGGGGGAGCTCTTGTCCATAATGGGCATGGTATTGACACAGCTCCAGAGGATCCACATTGGCTCACAGTTGATATGATCCAAAAATATTTAGACAGAATAAAGGTGAATAAAGCACCTGGACCTGATGGCATACACCCATGGGCCCTTAAAGAATTGAGCTCTGTCACTTCAAAGCCATTGTTTCTAATTTGTAGGCACTCTTTAATGACTGGCATAGTACCATTGGATTGGCGTAAGGCCAATGTGGTGCCAATATTTAAAAAGGGGTCAAAATCTTTACCAAGTAATTACAAACCTGTTAGGTTAACTTCTATAGTTGGGAAGATACTGGAGAGTTTAATAAAAGACAACAAAGATGAGTTCTTACTGGAAAAAAATATTTTAAGCAACAGACAGCATCGATTCATGAAAGACAGAAGTTGTCAAACAAATCTGATTTGGTGAGCAAAATCTTGGACAGAGGGGTGGCGGTGGACGTGGTATACTTGGACAGAGGGGTGGTGGTGGACGTGGTATACTTGGACAGAGGGGTGGTGGTGGACGTGGTATACTTGGACAGAGGGGTGGTGGTGGATGTGGTATACTTGGACAGAGAGGGGTGGTGGTGGATGTGGTATACTTGGACAGAGGGGTGGTGGTGGAGGTGGTATACTTGGACAGAGGGGTGGCGGTGGACGTGGTATACTTGGATTTTGCAAAAGCGTTTGACACAGTTCCCCACGCACTGCTAATTTGTAAGGTAAAGTCTACGGGCTTGGAAAAATCTGTATGTAAATGGATAGAAAACTGGCTAAAAGAACGTATTCTGAGAGTAGTGGTTAATGATTCATACTCTGAATGGTCTAGGGTCATCAGTGGTGTACCCCAGGGTTCAGTGTTGGGACCTTCACTTTGTAATATATTTATAAATGATATAGGGTCTGAGATTACAAATCGTATTTCAGTCTTTGCAGATGACACCAAGCTGTGCAGTGGAATAACGTCCTTACAGGATGTCTTCAATTTACAAGCCGACCTCAATGCACTGTTTAATTGGGCAACTATGTGGTAAATGAAGTTTAATGTTGATAAATGTAAGGTTCTGCACTTGGGGGCTAAGAATATGCATGCATCATACATACTGGGGGGGGGGGGTACAACTGGGGGAATCCATGGTGGAGAAGGATCTGGGAGTTCTGGTAGATCACAAGCTTAATAATGACATGCAATGCCAAGTTGAGGGTTCTAAAGTGAGCAAAATCCTCTCTTGTATTAAAAGAGGTATAGACTCCAGAGAGAGAGATATCATTTCCCCCGGTACAAATCATTAGTAACACCTCATCTGGAATATGCAGTTCAGTTTTGGGCACCAATTCACAAAAAGAACATTGGGGAACTGGAGAAAGTACAGAAAACGGCAACCAAACTGATAAGAGGTATGGAGGAGATCAGCTATGAAGAAAGATTAGAGGAACTGAATTTATTCTCTCTTGAGAAGAGGAGATTAAGGGGGGATATGATCTCCATGTATAATACATAAGGGGGGGATATGATCTCCATGTATAATACATAAGGGGGGATATGATCTCCATGTATAATACATAAGGGGGGATATGATCTCCATGTATAATACATAAGGGGGGATATGATCTCCATGTATAAATACATCAGTGGTCCATATAGTGAACTCGGTGTAGAGTTATTCACCCTGAGGTCATCACAGTGACTTTTTTCTTTCTATGAGTCAGGACAAGGGGGCACTCTTTATGTCTGGAGGAAAAGAAATTTAATTTAAACACGGAAAGGTTTCTTCACAGTGAGAGCTGTGAAAATGTGGAATAGACTTCCTCAAGAGTTGATTCTGGCCAGCTCAGTGGATTGCTTTAAAAAAGGCCTGGATTCTTTCTTAGATACACAGAATATAACAGGATACTAACATTTATAGGTAAAGTTGATCCAGGGAATATCCAATTGCCTCTCGGGCGGTCAGGAAGGAATTGTTTTCCCAGCATGTGGATCATGCTTTGCTGGGTTTTTCTTGCCTTTCTCTGGATCAACTGTGCGTATAGGATTATAACTTTTTTTTTTCTATGGTTGAACTGGATGGACTTTTGTCTTTTTTCAGCCAAACTAACTATGTAACTATGAGTCGGGGGCGTGCACGCTTTGTTAGAGTGGGAGGACGTCATAACATATGACGTTCTCCCAGAATGAGAGAACCGCCTTGCGCCTGTCATTTCCTTATATGGCAGGCAGGAGGCGGTTAAAGTGACATAATGTCCTGAATACAGGTGGTGTGGGGACATTATGTCTGTATGCATGCGCCACTTTAAGCAAGTAGTAGGGCATAGCTGCGTACAGCCCCTTTCATCCATTCTATAGGCGGGAAATCACAAAAGGATGCAGACCCTGCCACTTTCCTCATTAGAGCCCTGCAAGTGCAGCAGCTGATTGATAATTATGAAAGTACTCCCATTCACATTTATTTTGCACATGGACACAGACAAACATACAGCTATTTCTTCAGAATAATTAAAGGTAGAAATCTGCCACAATATTTTTTAAAATTCCCGCAATGTACAAAGATCACCCACAGGGAAATGTTCTTTTCTCAACAAAAGTAACTCTTTAACCACTTTACATCTGCCCGCCCACATTGTACTGCGGATGGACGGTCACTGTAGGCAAAGCGACGTACGGGTACATCGCTGCCTTCTTCCAAGTTTCTGCTGCATGCCCCGCCCCTTTTTCCCCCACCGACACCTGCTGTGATTGTACACAGTGGAAGTCTGTCAGCAAGTCCCAGCCAATGATTCCCAGCTGGGACCTGCTGATCGGCTTTGTCCAGTCACAGCTAAGAGCTCTGTACACAGAGTACACAGAGCTTTGACATTCAGCACAGAGCTCTGAACACAGGGAGCAATCTGTCAGTTTCTCATCCCTGCAAAGCAGAGATGAGAAACTGACAGATCTCTTAGTAAAATCAGCACACTTGACACACATTACACATAGCTAGGCACACATTTAACACCTGATAGCCCTAGATGTTAACTTCTTCTCAGCCAGTGTCATTAGTACAGTGACATGTATAGTTCTATCACTAATCACTGTAATAATGTCACTGGTGATATCACTGGAGATATCAGCTAATTGCCACCATAAGTAGTACTGTATAAAAAAATTCCAGTATATATACCATAGTTTGTAGGCACTATAACTTTCACGCAAACCAAGCAATATACACTTTTTGAGATTTTTTTTAACAAACACATATAGCAGAATACATTTTGGCCAAAATTTATGAAGAAATTAGATTTTTTTTTTGTTTTTATTGGATATGTTTTGTAGCAGAAAGGAAAAATACAATATATAATACAACGCTGATGAACTTAACAGTGTTCATGCTTGTTTTATTTTGGAGACATGTGAGTGTATTACCAGTGCATGTCAATTTTACTTAATAAAACGGAATCACAGTATTCGGATGCCTTTTCTATTCCTTGCATGCATACATCCCACTTTATGATGGAATGATTGAGGACCATAAACTTAATTTAATCAGGAGGACTATAAGACCCAGCAGGAACTCCACATGCCCCACCAAAGTGTGCATGACTCTGATTTCATCATAAGAGTCCAATATATCTGGTGTGCACACAGGAGGGGAGCACAGAGCACAAATCACATATTCTTTTTGAAACAGAAACACCTGCACTGATTACTGGCACTAAGGACATTATTTTTCACTTGGAAGTTCTATTCCTAAAATTTTTTTGCTGAGTTGCATTTAAGTATATGTATCATATTTAGGCAGCGCTCTTATTGTATTTGGTTTCTAAAAAGTAAAAAATATTGGGGGGGGTTTAAAATTTTCTGTCTTCTTTTGTTTTATATCGCAAAAATTTAAAAACCCAGTGGTGATTAAATACCACCAAAAGAAAGCTCTATTTGTGTGAAAAAATTATATAAATTTAGTTTGGGTGCAGAGTTGTATGACCGCACAATTACCAGTTAAAAGAGTTTAAATAGCGCATTGTGGTATAGCAAAAAATGGCCCGGTCATGAAGGGGGTAAAACCTTCCTTAGCTGAAGTGGTAATGGAATGGGGTTTATATTTTTCTTTGTCAAAAGTTTTATCAAAACACAGATCAATGCAAAACAACTGATTGCCCACGCAGAGGTACAGAACGATACGTAAACAGATGAAGAAACAGGCGGTGCTCACAACATTTTCAGAGCAGTACAGGGGCGGACTGACAACTCATGGGGCCCCCCCCCCGGGCAATAGGGGATCATGGGGCCCCTGTGTCCTTGCCCAAACTCAAAAAAAGCCTATGAAAAAGGTACCAGGGGCATCTCATGGGGCCCCCTACTGACCCCGGGCCCTCGGACAGTGCCCGAGTTTCCAAATGGTCAGTCTGCCCCTGGAGCAGTAAGATCAGAATAATGCCGACCCAGGGGCGGACTGACCATTTGGAAACTCGGGCACCGCCCGAGGGCCCGGGGTCAGTAGTGGGTCCCATGAGATTCCCCTGGTACATTTTTCATAGGCTTTTTTGAGTTTGGGCAAGGACACAGGGGCTCCATGATCCCCTATTGCCCGGGGGCCCCATGAGTTGTCAGTCCGCCCCTGTGCCGACCTGTGATATAGGCCACAGTGCGTGTTTCCATGACCCAGGGACAAGCCCGGGAGAGGGGTTTATATTTTTAACAACATATTTGTCACATTTTGTTGACAGAAATTCATAGACATAGAATTGCTATTGCTGCTGAAAACAGTAGATGACTGGCTGTCTGTAGCCACAAGCATGACACTAGTGAAATTAGAGGTAAGACTTCTGGTCTGCTTAAATATAGAACGAGTGGGAGATGGAGAAAAAATGGCTCTCCATGCCCTTGTAACCACGGTTTTACTGGTACCACACCCCCTAAAGAGAATTATGTTGAAAAAGACCCTAACCAAGAAACACTAGTTGGGCTTTAGAGGTACCAAACCAGATCAATAAACATAAAATAAACAAAAATGTAAGGACAGTTTGTAAAATTGAACACCTTTTATTAGGTTAAAAAGCCACCAACAGGTGGAGCATAATCATCAGACATATACATAGAAAACCAGAAAATAAAATATAATAGATGAGACCTGGCCACCGTAATTGTTGCTGATGTCATAAACGCAAATGGCATCACGGGCATCAGCCACAAACAAACAACAACTATAGCCTCAGGACATAAAGGCTAAGCTGTAAACAGAGATGGACATGATGGTACATGGCTAACAATGGAAACATGTAATTAGTATATAAGTTGGTATAGAACACCTAAACATATAGTAACATAGATGTTGATAACCATATAGACATGTAGTTTCCACTTGAAACCATGAGTAGGTACTTTGTTTTAGGATTCCAACAAGTTTCGTGGGACAGAGCCCGCTTCTTCAGGGAAAAAAAACGAAACACAAATTCCTACAGCAAGCAAAATCAGAACCAGAAACATATAATCAGTACATAGTCATGCAAGATTATATGAAAAACAAAAATAAATACAGGGTTTAACAGCAATTACCAGTTGATGATACCAACACATTCCCAGATGACTCATGCAAAATATAGGTCAATCATATCTGGATGGACAGAGGAAGGCCTCCAACAACTATAAATAATGATCATCGATCAAAAAAGGATCTATGTCCACTTGTAAGACAACAGAATCGTCATTCTAGGGAATCACAAAATACATGGATCAAAAAATAGTAGTGAAAACCCCCCTAAGTCCATCTCTGTTTACAGCTTAGCCTTT